ATATTGTGTGGTGTGATGTTTAATGTACGCGTCCGCATCCGGCCTTGCATAGTTATCCACTACGGCGGATTACTGTCATCAGTTGATCCGCAGATTTGCGTGCCGCTCGATCCAGTACTGGCATACTTACCACTATGTTTGTCCTCATTTCACTAACTAGATTGTACAGTTATTAACAACATTACTTTTTTACCTTCAGAAAAAGAGTTGATAGGTTCCTATGTGGTCCTTCCGAAACCAAATTGTTCCCACACTTCTGATCTAAAATAGGGGTAGGATAGCCCTTCACAACGGGAATCAGGGTCAGATGTATGTGTTTTTATTACTTTTTAAACCCAAAATTGTTAAACTCATCAGTTTTAACCTGGAGGACTTGTCTAACACCGGATCATCTTTTGAGAGACTTTGTGGCTTTCGAATTTTAGCCCTCCTTGAAGAAACTCCCGATACCCCATGGTTTTGTTAAACAATCATGCAAATGTGGGGCATAAAGACAAGCTCGAGAAGGACTGTAGACTGCATTACCCGTCTCTGAAGTCTTACGGCAGAAGATTGGACTCCTGTGAAGAATGTGTAGGAGAACAAGGGAGCGAGTCTGAGTATTTCCACCAAAAGCTGTTCTTCGTCCAATCCAGCCACATTTCCTTTGGTATATCGAAATGGTAACATGCAGGGTCATGCCGCACGGGCTAACCCGAAACGCTCTGTAAGTATTGAGTACAAACGGGGGACTTCCTTGTAGTACATAGGAGGCCAGTCGGGAACAGACTAGGGGAAGAGCGCTGCGAACGGTACATTAGCAAGTAACGACCGGCATGGACCCAGGGAATCTGGCGATTCCCTAACTTTCCTAGGGGTCAGTACTGAACATTTCCTATGGGGTCGGTTCAGAGGTTGGATTCGCTGTGGACTTTCCCTCTTTCCTAGAGCGCAAGGCCGAATTCCACGAAAGTAAGTCCCCAAATTAGAGTCGCTGATACCCGTTTCGTAAGCTGTCCGACAAACTTCGCTACTGGTAACACCTTGAACTGAAATGTGACCGTGAGATAACAGTATTTGACGCCTGTCTGGCTGTGCCGAAGGTGTGAATCCATTCGTAATCATTGTGAAATCAACACCTCTCACATGGGGTTTGTGAGTCTTTATCAGTTCATTACCAGAAGTTATCTGTGAGCTGTTTCGAAATATTCAAAAGGAGTCAGCGGAATTTAAGTGGTCATTCCCCAGATGTCATCAGTCATTGCAGTTCTTTTATTACTGAAAAGTACTCTTTTGTTGCTACATTTCTTCTCACGAGCTCATAAACTCGTATACTCACTACGTTTTCTAGTGAAGCCGACTTTTGTTTGGGTAAGGCCATCTGTCAGAAACAACTTAATCTGAGCTCATTTGCAAGCCTAGGAGACAACCAGTTGATCCCGATCCATGGCATAGTAGCAAAGACATCATTGAATTGCATCATTATCAGTCTCATCTGATTTCTCAGAAGGCTCTATCAGGCTCTGAGGTAAACTGTTATCATCAGCTCCTCAAGAAGCTCTCAGGCCGACCATCCGAGCTCAAACTAGATTTTCCGGAAATCTTGTGTAATTCCTCGGTTTTCCTGTCTCTTTAAAAGAACAATTTTATGACGTTGTTCCCATTCGAAGTCTGTTACCACCCGATAGGATATCATACTTCCAAAAAACAAAGTACCCAAAAACGTGCTTCCGTTGTGATTTGAAGTGCAGTTCCAACAAACCCCATGAGCCATCATTTGTAAGCACCCGCGGTCACGGCTCACCCTAACCGGCCAAATTTTTTAGGGAGGGCCATGTTGGCCACAAAAAAGGCGCAGAACATAGCATAATAATGTAGGAGACGGGAGCTCTGTCATGCCAAACCATGAGCCGTCTCCTGGCGGCTTCTTCGTCAATCGCGATACTATTTCTCTTTCTATGGCAATTGCAGGGGAAATTGTTGCCAACATGGCTGTCAATACAGCTCCTAAATATGACGTTGTGTTCTCACGCCATGAGAACAATGCCGCCATCTCGACTGTGACATCGTCGCAGAAGCAGTTCATAGGTCTCGTTGTCGTGTAGTCATGCATGTCGCCCATCTTCCCTTCTTTTCTTCTTTCTTTCTTTTTTGTTCCTCCCATTCAAAACCCTTTAATCTTCATCAAGATTCCTG